ATTGGATTCACAGAGAAACTTCACCACAAAACTTGAGAGTAACAGTTGAGAGAAACACCAAGTGAGGCCTCGGCTATCATACTTTGTGCTAACTTTTCTTGTTAAATTCTTAACAGGAGACCATGGATGGAGATAACAAAAAACGAGATGATGCACCAACTGTGAAATTAAATAAATTGCAGATGGAAGTAATGGTGTCTGAGATCATGAAAAGAACGGAAAAGACTGGTTATTTTCAACAGAAACATGCTGATGATTTCTTTGGTAATGTTTCTCAGGTTCAGAAAGTCGCCAAGGACAAAAGGAGGAGCAGAATACCAATTTTCTGTGGTAAAAACGACCATGATGGCTACTTGGACTGGGAGCAGAAAATGGAACATATCTTTGATGGCCAAAACTACTCAGAAAGCAAGAAGGTTAGATTGGCTACATCAAAGTTCTGTGGTGATTCCATTCAATGGTGGGAGCAGCTTGTTACTACCAGAAGAAGAACAGGAGAACCACAAGTAGAATCCTGGTTTGAGCTGAAACACTTCATGAAGAAAAACTTTGTTTATGGTAGCTACAGAAAAAAAACCAAGCCATGGTGCCATGGTTGTGATCAGCCAAGAAAGTCTCATTCTCATAAGAAAAGGAGGCCAACCCCACGTCCTCTCAAAAAATCCAATGAGCCACTGTGTTATAAGAAGGAGACAACTACCTATGAGCTGAAAAGAGAACCATCTAAGGTAATAAAAGAAACTGAGACAGAAAATGAGTTTTCTCTTTTCTCTTCTCAATCTGAACTTGTTATCAGTAATACCTTTGATAAACTAACTTTTCTTGAGCCGGTACATCCGAGTAGTGTTGTTTCAGTGTCTCAGGTCTTAGAAGAATACTCACCAGGGACAGATCAGCTGAGTTCAATACAAGGTGAAGTAATGGAGCAACTGATAAGCTTGGAACCAGAAACAACTCCTGCACCTTTGTTCACACACTCACAAGAGCACAGTAAGGAGCTTGTTATGGTTATTTCTGTGCCTGACATGTTTGTTATGGTTAGTTCTGTTGGTGAGAAACGTTTTTGTTTTGACAAAGTGAAAGAATTTTGTGTTTCAAATTCTGTTTTTAATAACATGATTTATTCTTTAAAGAAACTTGAAACAGATAAATTTTCTGATCAAAAACGTTTTTACTGGGATCATAACATCAATCCTAGTCTTGTTTCGAGTCTTGATCAGTCTATGGAACATCGCAAAAGCGTTGATCTTCCTGAAAAGTTATTAGAGCTTGTTCTGCAACAGCATGTTTTCTATTCTAGAAAATCGTTTGATTCATTTGTTTGCAAAGAAAATAGCTTTGTTCTGATTTGTTCTAAGCATAAACTAGACTCTGGTGATTTTGTTGCATCCACATGTGCCTTGGAAGAATTCATGGTTAAGAATTTCCAGAAACCATAATCAATTAAAGCTGAAACCGAGTTTGTTCTTGATTCTGATTTGAAACTTGCTAGTTTATGTTCTGAAATTTATAAACCTGGGCATGTTTTGAGATCATTGCTTAATGAATGTGATGTTTTGAGCTTTGATGATATTCTGGTTTACAATACATTCTTTGAAAAACATGTTGAGCCTTTGTCCAGTGAATCTCAGTCTGAACTTAATCATTTGTGTTCTAATTTTGAGAAAAGTAAGCATGTGTTGAAGCTGTTCTATTTTATTTTGTGCCTTGGATACCATTCTTANTTTTGAGATCATTGCTTAATGAATGTGATGTTTTGAGCTTTGATGATATTCTGGTTTACAATACATTCTTTGAAAAACATGTTGAGCCTTTGTCCAGTGAATCTCAGTCTGAACTTAATCATTTGTGTTCTAATTTTGAGAAAAGTAAGCATGTGTTGAAGCTGTTCTATTTTATTTTGTGCCTTGGATACCATTCTTATCCACAATACTTACTTCGATGTGCATTTTGAAAGTCTGAAACAAGTGCAACATGTTCTCAGAAAGAAATGCTTGCTTATTGATCAGATTGAGAACAAGTCTTGCTTATATGAAACTGGATATCTAGTCTATGATTTGAGTGTCCAGGATCAACATGTTCAGTCCCAAAGGAGTGCACAAAATGAGAGCATCGATCATGTTAATCAGCCTGAGATATGGGGCCGGAAGTTCTTAAAAAAACCGACTTCAAAACTCCAAGGAAGTCCCAACCTAAAACCTTTCTTTAATGTTCCTTTTATGCTTATTTTGTTGATCATCTGTCTCGCCTCTTACTTGTTTCCTTTTGATGTAGGAGATACAGATTTGAGGACAAATCTTTTCAAAGGAGGAGGGGATGATGCAACCCTGACCGAGCTAGCTGAATATCCAACAAAGGACAAACCAGGATGGATGAGAGACGAGCTTGCTGAGCTAAAATCAGCTGGTGAGACTAAGGAAGAGCTGAAACAGAGTATGCACAAGCTGGAACCAGCTGTAGAAAGTGTTCATGAGCTGAAACCAGCTAAAGAGAGTGTGTATGAGCTGAAACCAGCTCAAGTTACTAAGGATGAGCTGAACCAGCTGCGTGACACTAACCTAAAGCTGGATGAGCTGAATGAGCTAGGTGACACTAAAGGAGGAGCTGGATTAGTTGCTGGACGAAATGGGATTTGTTCAGCTCAAGGAAAAATTCATAAAAATTTCATTAAGGGTCTGATTCATGCCAAATTCGACCAGCCCTTTCATCAGTCTTTTTCTGGCCTTTTCCCATCAAGAATACCAAGGGAGAGTCAGCAAGAAAGTCCTGGTNGCTGAATGAGCTAGGTGACACTAAAGGAGGAGCTGGATTAGTTGCTGGACGAAATGGGATTTGTTCAGCTCAAGGAAAAATTCATAAAAATTTCATTAAGGGTCTGATTCATGCCAAATTCGACCAGCCCTTTCATCAGTCTTTTTCTGGCCTTTTCCCATCAAGAATACCAAGGGAGAGTCAGCAAGAAAGTCCTGGTTGTGGGCATGCCAAGGGACATTCAAAGAAGAACTTAGTTTTGGTCAAAAGTCAAGTTTTGCCTAGTTTTTATCTTAGTCTTCATTTCTGATTTCTATGTTCCTAGTTTTCTACATAATTTCTAGCTTTCCACATTCTTGTAAGACTATATATAGGCTATGCATGACCAGAATAAGATCATTCACTCTTTTTATCAAAAATCTTTCTAAGTTGTGAATCCCTTGTTCATCTTTGAACATTGATCTGCTACAGAGTTCATTCTCTAACAGCAATTTTGTTTGTGATCCGCGAAAGAGTTCATTCTCTGGATCATATACACATCGAACAAGTTGTGATCTCTCCGTTGATCTACAACTGAAGAATCCCCTTCCATCTCTACCAGCACCCACGGATGGCCATCCCCTTTGTTCATCAATCAACATTCACCCATAAACAAAGCGATCAATCCATCTATGAAACCAGTGATCACCCTTCAAGATTCAGGGCAAAAGAATCCGATCCTATCCAGAATTCTATCATTTACTTGGCTGTATACGCTAGCTCTTCCTCTATGCAAGTAGGAGAGTAAAGGGCAGTCATGGAGCCGATTTTTTCTAACCAAGGTCGCTTTCAGTTGTGCTGACAAAGGGAAATATAACACTGTTGGACTCTCTTTGCAACCATATGACCGAATGGACCACGTCTGTTACCAAATTTTGCAAGGAAAGGAAATCAACTTAGAGAATACATGCGGTTTCCTGTAAGTTATCTTATGTTAAATTACATATTAATCAAATTATCAAAGTAAACAAATTATTTCACTATAAAAATATAAAATAATCACGCTTATCCTGATCCAAAGGTACGATATATATACCTTGCATATATATATATATATATATATATATATCATTTATTAAATATAGATAAGTGTATACAATATTGATGCTGACAAAAAAAGTTTATAGAATATTTAACCACAGACTTCAAACTACAATATTAAAATGTTTATCATATATACTTGATGGTAAAAAAAAGGTTTACAGATTTTTATGGCTGTACTTTTATCATATATACCTACTGATTGTTTACAGATTTTTGAATTAATTTTTGTTTTTGATTTTTTTAAACGATTTTTAGACAATCAATTGTTTAGAAAAATGGTTTCCCTATAGTTTAAGGAATTTATTTTTTCTTAAATTTTGCTACTCTTTAAAGAAACCAAAAACCACTTTTGTTAAGATATTCAGTGCATCACGTTACTTTTCCCCTTTTTTTCTTTCAAAATATTTTTATTAGTTTTATACTCAGATTTTAGTAAAATATCATATTATATAAAATAAAAAAGTTTTATGTCTAGAAATTATACGCAATTTAGAAAAATATATTGTAAAATTTAATATTTCAATTAATTTAATCTAAATTATTTATAGATAAATAACCATAGAAATATGTGTGCACATTATTAGGAAACAACTAAAAAAATTTGGATATTAATTTATTTTATTTATAATAGAAAGTAATTATATAATACTCATTTGGTTTCTAATGATCCATATTTTAGAATTTTTTCACACATACTAATAAAGTATATTAAATTATTTTCTAAATGGTTTATTTTTTTTATAATTAAATAGTTTCACAAATTTTTGCTAATAGAAATTTAGTAAACACAATTAACCTTTTAACATTTACAAACTACAACTATCAACTATTAAAAATACTATGAAAATTTAAAAATGTATCTTTGATTTTTTTTCAAAAAAATATGGATCATTTTAAAAGGAAAACAGTATATAAATTTCCAATATTTGATAAATTGAAAATATTAGTTGAAATTTTATATAACTATCATTGTATGTTTGTTCTTACTGATAACTTGTTATTTTTTATTATGTTTAAAATAAATATATTATCATTATAAATTATTTTATTTATTAATTTAATCTATAATTTTAAACCAAAAGTTAAAATCTAATTCACCATTTAAGTTTTTTTAAAAAATCTAAAATATAAATCTAAAACGGAAACTAAACCCAAACAAACAAAACTCAAAAACTGAAAATCAAAAAATCTAAAATTAAAATCTAATTTACCATTTCAGTTCCGTTAATGGCACTGGTGCAAAAAAAACAAAACAAAACCAAAAACTAAAACCAAAAAAACAATCCTCACCTATATTTCTTGAAGCAAACTACACTCCAATGGAAACTAAACCGAAAACAAAAAATATAAAGGGGGGTTTTGCAAAACCAACCCAAAAATTCAAGTCAAACACAAAACCAACCTCTTTTTTTTTGTCATCACTATTCACTCTTAAAAAACCTAAACTCTCCTCATGTTTCTACCTATTTACCAAATTGCCATTATTATTAAATCTGATACTATTTTGGAAAATTATAAAAAATCTATTACACCCTAAACATTTCTCCTTATTTACCACAATACCATTGTCATCAATATTTGCAACCACCAAAAGCCACCATTGATGAGCTCTTTAAGCTTGTGTTTATGAATTTTCAACCACTTATTTCACTTTCTAAACAAAGAATACTTCATTTCCTCTCATTTCCTCTCTATTTTCATCTAAACAATCCTCGTAACTCTCATTTTCATTAACACAAACTTCATAGTTTCTATTTTATTCACAAGTGAATCGTAAAGGTTGCTTCTTTTGCTCATATTTGGATTCTGGACGGTGGAAAAGCTTGGAAACAAGCTTTAAACCGGTGTCAAGGTAACTATTTACATGCTTTTCGTCATATCTCTGATCTGTATCGCGAAAGTAGACTGTATTATATGTCTACACTTACGTGTAGACTTACGTTGTAGTCTACTTGTCAACGCACATGTTACTTTTGCAATTGACCAAAATAATTTTTTTTGTAATGTAGACCTACAAGTATGTCAACGTCTTTACCTTTGAAACCGAAAACAAAAAAATTGGTAGACTTACTAAGAAATCTACATAAAAGAGGTTAGATTTGCATTTGACCAAAATTTTGACTTACCATTGTAGACTTCTTGGAAGTCTACACTTTGTAGACTGCTAGGTAAGTCTACGGAATGTCAGTTTTGCATTTGACCAAAACTTTGACTTTGTTGAATAGGTTTCTTTTGTATTTGACTAAAATATTTAGAAGCTGACTAAAACTTACTTTACGTGTAGACTTCATATGCAGTCTACAAAACTTAGGAAAAAAAAGTAGACTGCATATGAAGTCTACTATGTTATATTGGTCAATTGCAAAACTAACCTGTCGGGTTATAATGTAGACTTTTACTGCAGTCTACAGTTACGTAGACATTTAGTTTTGTCTACTAGTAGAAAGTCAACTTTGGTCAATTGCAAAACTAACCTCTTTCAAACAAATTTAAAAATGTAGACTGCATAGAAAGTCTACTTCTAAAAGTCAAACTCTGAACGAATCCTGGTCAATTGCAAAACTAACATTTTTAAAAATGTAGACTAAAAATTAAGTCTACTCGTATAAAATCACATCTTTTTTTCAAATACAGAAAGTAACCCGTGAATTTGGCAATTGCAAAAACCAACCTACACGTAGACCTAATTTGCAGTCTACAAAATGTAAATTAAATAAAACGTCTACCCGTCTGTAGACTGAATATGTAGTCTACCTTGTAAAATCTATCAAAAGTGGATTTGTATATTATTCATTAAGTTTTTTCAAAAAAAAATTTTATGAAAGTGTGTGTTAATTAATCATAAGTGTCTTGAATGATTTTCAGAAGATAATCTGTTATAATTAGGAAGTTATCAAATTTTTTGTTTGTCTATGTTGTTAGCTTAAAATTTGTAGGCGTACTTGTAAGTCTATGATATAATTTTATCAAACATGAAATTTTGGTTTGCTAATTATGTAAACCGTATTTTTTTTTGCAAGAGATGGCTCAATTACTCGTTGTATACAGAGAATGGGTGGTGAAAAACTCTAGATGTGTTAGTGTTATGTGTTGAACTTATGAGTTGTCTTATTGCTATGGATGTTCTATTATGTATTAGTGTCTCATTGCTTTGAGTTGTCTTCTATTGGATTTGTAGGTCTTTAGTGTGTGTTGAACTTATAAACTATATTATTGCTTTGGATGTTGTCTACTGTGATAGACTTATGTTATATTTTTCTCTGTCAAGTAGACTTCTTTGTAAGTCTACAAGAAAGAATACTAATAAGTAACAAGCATGAGTGTTTCTGGCTTCTGATTTTTGTAACCAGCATGAGTGTTGCTTGTAGAAAGCTATGTATACACATCAAATGTAATGAAGATTACCTAATTTGGTCTTATCATATTCTATTCAATAACCAAATCAAGCTATTTGAATCTAGTGGATCCATAAATCATTCACATGTGACTTGTTTAATTCCAAAACACAAGGGGATGTAAGTGTACAAAGAGAACAAACCAAAGACCAAACTAATTAAAATTACATGTTTTTGGATGCATGCGTATGTTCATGTCTCTTGAATTCAAGAAACGTTGCTCTTGCACAGTCTCCAAGCCTCCTCATCACTTCTCTGTACTCAGTTCTAACCGTTGAACCAAGTTGATCCAAGAAGAGTGCATCGATCTCTGGTAAAAGCTCATATACTAACTCATACATTTCAAGAATCCTAAGCAACTTCTCAGGTTGCCGTGGACCAAGAGACACAGCTTCACCGAAGTTAAGTAACCGCATCACAGCAGCCTTCACTGTATCGACAAAACATATTAAACCAAACTCGTTTACTTCCCCAAAGATCTGACCGAAACGAACCGTGTTCGATCTCAAAAGGCAGCCTGTTCTCAACAAGAAGATGCTTAAACTCATCCTCAAGCCTTGCCATCACCGTCTGAAGAATATCATGAGCTTTCCTCAAAGAAACCTCCTCTTCTGTTCCCTCTAACCGATCAATAAAACCTCTCAACTCATTCACAACACCCAAAAACTCGTTCCCTGCATCAGAACCCAAGTCCCAAATCATCCTTTCATCTACCTCACGAGTCATGATCTTCTCACAAACGAGATTAACCCTCTGCTCCTACTACTTGCATTGGGTT